CCCCCCGGCTTCCTGATTGGCTGGGAAGCCAGCTCCCTGGTGACAAGGGAGCATGGAGCCAGCTTCCCGGCCAATCGGGAAGCTGGGCAGCATGTAATGATGGTATGGGGCTAAGCATCGGAGCATCTGGGAGAGTGCAAGTACTCACCCAAATACTCGGTATCGGCACCGATACTAGTATCGGTATCAGTGCATCCCTAGTTTGGGTTGTGTTTTTATTCTATTTGTTTATACATTTTAATTTGGAAAAATAGAGTGCAAGCTTCTTGTTCCTCATTGCTGGCTCCAAAAGTCAAAACGTTAACCAGAAAACTGTTAGTCCATTCAGAAATTGGGATCTGCCAGGCAGTCTGCATACTCCTCCACAGAACCAGTTTCCTTTAACTAGACGGTGTCTGCAGTCAGGCTCATAAAGTAGATGTGAACCCCGAGTGAATTATTTTTAGTTTTCTTGTCTTATCATAGACCACTTGTAGTCCTCTAAAGGAACAGGGTGACCAACACAGCAGCACAAATAGGAGATGGGCACAGAGCGTTGTCACCCTATAACAGGAAGTGTCTGAAGAAGGTGCTGCATTACAGGATCTCTAGCTACTACTTTAATGAAAACAAAATATAAAAGATATCTCTGAAAAATCGTCTTTTCTCTTTTGTGCTCTTTCACAGTTGAGATTGTGGATGCGGTAGAGGCCTACGGCAACATGCTGAGAAATATCTTTGACTTCAGTGCCTTAAAGGAACTGCTTTCAGGACCCAATAGGCTAAAAATCCGACTTGACGCCATGCACGGAGGTAAGGTGGATCGGGAGGCAGATTCGTCATATTCTCTATGTGATAAAGAAGCCGCATTGTTTCTCTTTTAGTTTTTATTGGCAGAGAAAAGGGTTTTACCTTGGTGTGCTACAGTCCTCGGAGAGTGATCGCTGATCTTTATTCACTGGTTGGTCCTTCATGTAGCTCAACCAGTCACCGGTGCAGCGACATCGGATGCCGTGAAATGTCCTGGTGTATACAGGAAGTGATGGGCCGGCGTTATACTGATCAAAGAAAAAATGACGCATCTGAGGCCGTCTTGCGCTAGCAGTAATGCAGCATTTTTTGTAGCCTGGTTTTATCACCTATTGATGCGGCCAGTAAGTTTGTATATTTTCAGCTTCCTTTCAGCAGGTCAAGCTGTCCAGTAAAAGTAGGCAGAGGGTTGGGACAAACCATGTAGCACTGACAGCGTGTAGTAACCATGTAGCACTGACAGCTGTAGTACAACGCTCAGATTTTATTCTTATGGGTAAACCGTTTATCCCAAGAGGATAAAAAAAAAGTACTGCTTTCATTTATTATGAAATGTTTTCATTAACGTAACATTTAACTTAGGGATATACCGATACTAGTATCTGTATCAGTGCCGATACCGAGTATTTGGGCGAGTACTCGCCCAAATGCTCCGTTACCTTCCCCGATATTAGAACTTAGATCGGCAGTGCCATGCGGGAACATGTAGCAGACTTCCCGGGCAATCAGGAAGCCGGGTGGTGAATAATGTCCCGGCTTCCTGACTGGGTGGGAAGCCGGCTCCATGCTGATTGGCTGGAAAGCCGACTTCCCAGCCAATCGACGTGGAACTGGCTTCCCGGCCAATTAAAGAAGCCGGGAGGCGGGTCATTACTCGCCGCCTGGCTTCCTGATTGCCCGGGAAGCCGGCTCGATGCTGATTGGTTGGGAAGCCGGTTTCCCGGCCAATCAGGATGTTATTAGCCACCGACCGGCTTCCTAATTGCCTGGGAAGTCGGCTCCATGCCAGCGCAAGCAACGGTATATGCGAGTACCGAAAGCAAAATATCGATATGCGTACAAGATACCGAAAAACCGGTATCGGTGCATCCCTAATTTAATTATTTTAATAAAAAAAATATATATTTTTTTTCAATTATATCATGTCATCATTTTTTTGGTTTTGA